GCGTCGGCACTTAGGAGCAAAGTGGCATTTTGTACAGTCGCCGGTTTTATAACCGGCAAAGGGCAAATTCCTGCAGCGCGGATCTCCGCGATGGATTCTCCGTGCGAGTCTCGACACGTCTCGCAAGAAGAAGAAGCGCCATTGTACGCGTACGCGCCGTACAAGACGATGAAACGACGGGAGCGAATAGCTCGAGGCGAGCGAAGAAGAGCGGCAAACGGTATTATCAAGCGGCCGGCAGGCGCAAGTTTATAGCCGTTACACCAGCCGGTGCGTTAGGTCGAGACATACTTTCTAGTGGTTTCGAGTTCACTGTCCAGTGAACATTGTGTCCACGATTGCACCATATGGAGAGCTACGCGATATCCCATTAGCCAGAACGCGAAACAGCGTGTTTGATATCGCGGAAACACTTTGATTCCGTTTTCGCGGTGGAGTCGGTGCGAATCGACCGAGATAAACGAAGTACCGCCAACGTATCGTCGCCGGGAACTTTACGTAAGTTCCGGCTTAACTGCCGTGTGTAAGAACATGTTTGAACTTGTTCGGACGTCATCTGTGATTTTTTTGGAAAATACTTTAGAATTATTTTCAAGGGTCATCTTTTAATCAGATAATGGCATTACCATAACTAACATAATACACATTTTTCAATCGATGCAATAGCGTTAGATAGGAAATAGATCTTAATAAGTTTCGAAGCTAGTTATTAAGAGAAAGAGAGAGAGAGAGAGAGAGAGAGAGAGAGAACTTTACGTCTGGAATTCAAACTAATTACGAATATTCGCGCGCTAACGGCGTTTGCGAACTACATGGATCGTACTACATAGAAAGGACAACTCCGTTAGTGTAACTGGATTTTCTGGTGTCTGGAGAACTTTATGAAAAATTCGGCTGTATAGGAACAGAAATACTTCTATAGGAGATTTCTATTTAAAGTCACCTCAACCGAATACTAGAGCAGCTGAATGTTCAAACAAATGTTTCCGATCGCAGTAACAGACATGCTATTACTCGTCAGCGAGTTTTTCGTCCGGTTTCCATTCAGTCATATGAATTGAAATTTTCCCTCCGTGCAGGTGACTCGCGCGACTCGCGCGCACGGGTGCGCGTCGCCACACGGAGAATTCGCGGCCAGCAAAGGGCACATTCCTGGCAGCGCGGGCGCAGATCGATTTCTCGCCGAGTCATCGATACAGCGACGAAAAGCGGCGGGATCCGTCGCGGAGAGAGAGATTCGCGAGCGACTTGGCATTTACGACCGACGACGGGAGCGAGACGACGAGAGCCGGCGACGATGGTGCAACGAGCCACGTGCGACCGCGGCCCGTCCAAAATGCCAAGACAGCCCTTACCCGTGTGGCTCTCGCTGTGACATTTGAAAAAACAGATCTGCAGATCGGCTGGATGCCTGCGAGTGCCAATGAGAGATCGCGACGTCGTGCCGCATTGTTCAAGGGAGAGTTCACAACTTGAGAAAAGCAGAAAAGCAGAAAGCAATCATAGAACTCGTGCTGATAATCAGGTGTAATGGTCGACAACAGTTTCTACTTTTTCTACCAGTACGAGTTATGATTAGCTTTTCCTGGTTCCTGGTTTTCTGCTAAGGTGTGAAAATCTCCCTGAGAAAGAACGGCGCGTCCAATTCGCGGCTTGCCAGAGCGATTGTGTCACGTTATCGTGATATTTCGACGTTCGATCTGTCATTGTGCGGAGGAGCGACCGATATTGCCCGGCGGCAAACGAGACTGCATCCACCGTGGTGGTTTCACTTTCGAGCGCGTATCGCGGCCGCCGCGACCGCAAGTCCACGACGACGACGACGAGGACGACGGCGACGACGCCTGTTAGCGCGAAGTAATGTACCGTAAGAAATAACGCCGACGACATAAGAAGCGACGGATGAATATTTGTCCGCTTCATTTCTCAGCGTTATGTAAAAATCTTAGGTCATCGTAGAAAGCTGTCGACGCGTTTTTCCCGCTCGGCGATCCGCGCGATATCCGCCGCTCGATATAAACAAAGATTACGTAAAACGCGCTCGATCGCCCTCAGCGATAACATCAATCATATCACACACACGCGACTTTCCACTAATCACGCGCGGTAACGTCTCATTTTCCGCGCGGCTCCGTGTGCAGCCAGGCGTAATTTCCACCCGGTATCGCGACGGATACGCCATTTTACGACATGGCCGGAAGCGCCCACAATAAAATTCATAAATCTTCGCGACGCCGCAATTTCGGTCTCCGCGTAACGCGCTCGAATTGCCGTGGAGCGCACCGAAATTACCGTCATTCTCGTATACAGTAGCTACGACAATAAAGAGACCTTCAGAGGGATCTAAGGGCGCATTTTGCTCATGAGGAAACGACGGCTGCGACTCGCAGCCCATAAACTAAGGGGTGTCTCGGGATTGTCGCTGAGAGCTGCCACGTGGACGACGACTACCATCGTCGCGTCTCAACGACGGCGCTTGCAATCCTAACTCTCCGATTGTACGGGAGAGTGAAACTACAAGTCACGCTGATTAGTTGTTACAAAACTTAACTTACTTATTAATTCGTGTTGTACGACAATAGCAAAATCAGATGTACGACAATAGCAAAAACATGTCATATTTGCAAGCACTTTCCCAAAGTTAGACTGGGAGGATAAATTTTTCTGACCTCTCTTTCGACTGTTTTATTGATGTTGGAATTATTGGCAATTTCTTTTCAATCATAAGAAATATTATAGTTTTAAATATATTTTTTTGTATTTTGTCAACTATTATTGCAACATAGTTTATACATATAATCTCTTTTATGAAAAATGTCGGATAAACTGACTGAAATAGAATGAGATTAATTGTTAAGTATTTTGGGAGCCGTTATGCTTCTCTGTGATATAACCGAAATTACAAAATTAAATTGAAAAAGTTATATAACGCGCATCCGTATATACATGAGACAAGAAGGATCGGGGCAGGTTGTCACTTTTAGAATACGATGCAGCGTGAGGCTTAAAGACTCTCTCGTACAAAATGGCATGCTGCATATGCACAAGACCGTCTCGTCCAATCAGCATGCTCTGCAAATCAATATAGCTACTTCATGCTCATTGGTCCAGACAGTCTTATGTTCATGCAGCTATGTCAATTTGTGTGAGATAGGCTTAACGCTGCGTGTGGCCGATGCTCATCTGATTGCTCCTATTCCGAGAAGATATGTGTATACACTCGCAAGTATCTTATCCCAGTGCTTGTGTCCTATCTCAGTAATATCTCAGTAATATCTCAGTAATATGCCTTGTCTCAATAATACGAAATCCTATCGCTATCACTAGTTTTATATTACGTCCTCAAAAAAACATACGAAAAAAACATAAAAATTTATATACAAAAAAGTGATTAGTTTTAAGCAAAATTGTGCAAATCTGACAACTTACCCCATATTTAGGATCAATTGTCCTGTATCTTTTATATAATAGAAATATGAAACAAATTCATCTCACGTTTGGTCCATATATAAAAAACATATAATAACTAATTCCAGGAGAATATGAGGAAAGTTGTCAGATTTGCACGATTTTACTTGGAACTAAATAACACTTTTTATGTATAAATATATATAAAACTAACATTTTTCTTTGCTTAAAGGAAGGGTACATTAAAATATAAACGTGTGTTATTATACAAAGTATTGCACACGTTATTTTAATCAGTATTTAACAAGTATTGACAACCCGCCCCAATATCCTTTACCTCGAGAGCGGCATGTTGGCAGCTTCGCTCGACGCTGAACGAATCAATGTACTTTTCCTTATACCTCACCTGCCGAAACGGCGATCCGTCCAAGGAGGTCATTATTCTGCCGACCTTGACAAACTTACGTCATCGTCATCACTTTCTCGCCTTGTCAACGTAAACTCCACTGAAATGCCAGCGATGCTCGCATATCTCTCCTCCGTAAAGGAGAAAAGATCCGCTAGTTATCATCGTCTCGTCTCCATCCCGGGAATCATTGACGAGCGGAAATTTACGCTAAGCGAATGCGTAAACGTTGCGGCCGAGTATTTATTATCTCCCTGCGAGTGAAGTTATCCGTCGACATTGCTAATTTACAGCGTTTCACGCGTGAGAAGCTATGCAAGTGCTCGCTTACTGTGCGCACTCATTGCGCTTTTATACGTATAAAGAAGTATTTGCTGCATAGCGATCGAATCGTTTCATCATTCCTACCTGTCTGTTTTATCGCTCAGCGTATATCGCCACGTGGATGAACTTAATTCACGCTAAGCTCGAAGAGTGATGGAGATCAGATCGAGACACGAGTAGCGGTGCACGCGCTGTTTCGCACGGGAATTTTATGCGAGCGCATAAAGCGCTCTCGCGGCTGGCTGGAATAAGTTGGCGCGGATATTTCTGTTAAGAGATCCTAGGTCGAGGTCACATGCTCGAACTTACCACTACGGAAATCGCAACTATACCTTTCATACAGCCGGAAAATTATTGACCGTGGTTATTTTCTCGTTTCCTTTCTTACGAACAGACGATTAATGACACTCGTCATAATCGCAGGTCATAGTCGACTTCAAGGTGAGCTCTAAATTCCTGCGGAATTGCTGCTATGCAGATCTTAATTCGTCGCGCTAGTTCATACAATATGTTTGGCAATCTCGATTGACGAAAGTTTTGCTATCACGATCGTCGTACAATTTTGACAACAGAGTTACGACATTCCCGCGCTTGTCACTTGAAAACTTTTCACTGAAAATGGAAGACCGTGTTCACCCCCGACTCGATTGGAAGGGGCGCGAGACGTGCAACTACTCCAGTCCGATTTCTACGTCGAGTCCGCACGTTTGTCGTGCACTCAGGATATTGCGGAAAACCGGTGGTATCGATTCGTACGTACCTGGATCAACGGAGGCACGGTCTACGCGGACGGTAATGCTCAAAGATGAGAAAGAGGGGACCCGATCGAGCACCGTCGTGGTGGTGGCAATATAAGGCCCGACGAGTGGCGGGCCTCAGCCAGTCCGTGAGCGGTACCTACACCTTCAAGGTCCGCGTCCTTGAAGGGGAACTCGTCCTCGATTATATCCGTCTCGTACGCGTCGTACACGAAGACCCCTCGCGGCCAAGATCTCCCCTCGTAAGAAGATTGTGCCCCGCTCTTTACCCGAACCCCTCCCGTACACCGCTCGTCCCGGAAGTGGCCATCAGGTGCTACGCCACATCCCCACCTCACCTCGATCGGTCTCCTTTCATCCCTTCCTGAGTAACAGCGCCGGTCAAACATCAGTTAAACGGAAGTGATCGAGGGGTAAAGAGTTGGGTGATAGCGAAGCAGCTCGTGGCAAGACGTCGAAGACGAACACGAAGACGACGTCGTGGAGAGGAAGTTGCGTTCCCCGTCGAGGGTCAGGACGAGCATGAGGTCCGTGTTGGTGCTGCTCCTGGTAGCAGCTTTCGTCCTTGCCGGTGAGTAACAGATTTCTCTGCCAGAGCTCTCGCTACCGCTCCACATCGATTCATGTGTGTGAGTATCGAATTCTCTCGCGCTTAGTGAGAGGGGCATGTGAGAGTTCCCCGGACCTTCTCGGTCGCGACGCGAGCGTGGGAGACAATTTTTACGAGAAGCCAACAGCCGCCCGGTAGCAACTGGATTTTTCGTCGCAGATTCAACAACGTTGATTGCTCCTCGTTTTAAGCGCGTATTGCTTAAGAATCGCTGATAATTATGAATTCGATTGCGTCGGAAATAATACAAAACGCGATGTTGGACAAATTTCATTCCTCAAAATGTCAATGGCATACGTATCAATGTCTCACATATGAGAGTTTTTAGTCGGTAGTTTGGATTGGAAATAAAGACAAGGAATTAAAGCATTAACTGAAATGGTAGCCTTGCTGAAAAATCATCAATCGACCGTAACAGCCGATCACGTACAATCGAGAGGTAGCCGAGGTACCTCGCACGGGTAGACACGAAAGATCGCGTGTAGTATCAAAGCCGTTCAAAATGGCGAAAGTGCCACTGCAGTCTGACTGATTCGATGTAAAATGAATCTATTCCTGCGCCCTCCTCCGCGAGATCCTGCGGTTGCTTCCCCGCTCGTCGTGGACGAACGACGCGACGCAAAGAACGACTCGACGTACGGCTGGATTCGAGGCGATCATCAGGACAACAGGTTGCATAAGAGATTAGAGCGTGAAAGCCTCTCGGTCCGGTCGGTCCCGGATGGGTGACGTCACTGCCGTGCCCCAGGCACCTGAAAACGTCGCGGGTGGGGGCACAACTTTCCCTGTTTGTCGCTCCGCCACGAAGTCACGTCGCGAGTCCTGGGGACCAACGGAACCGAACGTCCGTCAGATCGACCGTTTCCTCGGACGCGCTCAGTTGTCCTTTTCAAAATACCTACCAGACCAGAGGGTCTTCGATGAAACACTGAAAAATGCCGATGAAAGCCACGATTGATATATTTATCCCCTGCACAAAAGCTTAGATTCGCAAGGTCACTCGAGAGAGATCTCGTGTCTGATTCGTCTCGTGCAGCTTTCTTCAATCAGCTATGTGGAGATACCAAGTTTTCTAAGCTGATTACGTTGCGTAGTGAGGTAATCATAGGTATACAACCATAATTTGTAGGTAGTTACAAGTGTAACGCCATAATGACAGTGATAGGCGAAAGTACCTATTTTATGGTCTTTTCTTCATTGTATCTCCTTTCTGTATATAATCTCTTATACAAATACAAATCTATTTTCGGTTATTCGTCAAATCAAAAGCGCAGTTCTCCAGGTTAAAATATCGTTGAGTCGCAAATCGGAGAGTGGCAATGATCGATCGGATCAAGTCTCCGTCGTGTCGCCAAAACTGCGTTGTTACTTTCCAGAGGGCTCGATTCGTGTGAAGCGCCAAGAGGACAAGAAGGAGGAGAGCTTCGAGAGCGAGATCTGCAAGGACAAGGATGCGGGAGAGTGGTTCAGACTGGTCGCCGGCGAAGGTGACAATTGCCGCGACGTAATTCAGTGCACGAGTTCTGGTCTGCAGGCGATAAGATGTCCGGCCGGCTTGTATTTCGATATCGACAAGCAGACCTGCGATTGGAAGGACTCGGTTAACAACTGCAAGTTGAAGAACAAAGAGCGGAAAGCCAAGCCCCTGCTCTACACCGAGGAGCCACTTTGTCAGGATGGCTTCCTCGCCTGCGGGGACGGATCTTGCGTCGAGCGAGGTCTCTTCTGTAACGGAGAAAAGGATTGCACGGACGGGTCCGATGAGAACATTTGCGGTAAGTTGGCATCGAAGTTACAACGGCGTTTCTAATGCGATGCATGGAAAGCGAAAATGTTCTGAACGGATATCATGACACTGAACAAACGATCCCCTCGACATTGCAGACATGGACAACGATCCCAACAGAGCTCCACCTTGCGATCCCGCCGTGTGCGTTCTTCCTGATTGCTTCTGCTCAGAGGATGGCACCACGATACCAGGCGACCTCCCGGGCAAAGATGTACCACAGATGGTCACGATAACCTTCGACGACGCCATCAACAATAACAACATCGGCCTCTACAAGGAGATCTTCAGCGCCAAGCGCAAGAACCCGAATGGCTGCGACATCAAGGCCACCTTCTTCGTGTCCCACAAATACACCAATTACTCCGCGGTCCAGGAGATGCACAGGAAGGGCCACGAGATCGCCGTTCACTCTATCTCGTAAGAATTAACTCTTTCTCTCGGCATCGTCATTCTCATTCATATGTGCCATCGTTCTCTCTCTCTCTCTCTCTCTCTCTCTCTCTCTCTCTCTCTCTCTCTCT